GTTTCAGGTGTAAGCACCGTTGATGCAATTTTTGTTTTGCACTCTTTAGTGGAACGAATACTATCCCAAAATTTACGTCTTTATTGTTGTTTTATTGACATTAAAAAAGCCTTCGATTCAATCTATCGTAATGCTCTTTGGTATAAACTTTTTAATCTCGGACTAGATGGTAAATTGATCAGGATATTTAGAGATATGTATTCTTCGGTGTCTTCCTGTGTTAAGCACTGTAATACTTTGTCAGACTTTTTTGATATTTCTTTTGGTCTAAGACAGGGCCAAAATAATTCACCAATTTTGTTTGCTTTATTTCTGGAAGATCTGGAACAATACTTAAGGAATGATGATAGTAATAACGATAAGGGTTTCACTTTTTATGATATATGTATGATTATTTTACTTTTTGCCGACGATATGGTCATATTTGGAAAGTCAATTGAAGAATTGCAATCGAATCTAAATAATTTAAAGCTTTATTGTGATAAATGGGGCCTAGAGGTCAACACAGATAAAACAAAAACAATGGTTTTAGGAAGAGGGGAACCATCAGAGAAAATGAAAAATGGTCATACGACAATACTTTATTAGAGACTGTTGATAACTTCAACTATTTGGGTGTAGTCTTTAATTATACGGGGTCTTTTCAACTTCATAATCAGTATGCTATAGGAAAAGCTATGAAAGCCCAAAATGTTTTACTTCGTAATATTAACAAATATGATGTGACCCCTTCCGTTTCACTCCAACTCTTTGATGCGTTTGTTTCCTCAACACTAAATTATTCTTGTGCAATATGGGTTTTACAAAATCTAAGGATATAGAAAGGATTCACTTGAAATTCTGCAAGTCATTGTTAGGCGTAAAACACAGTACATGTACTGCAGCAGTTTATTCGGAGTTAGGCCGATATCCTCTTTATGTTCAAAGATATGTTCAAATAATAAGATTCGGGTTACATATTCTTCATTCAAATAATAATATCTTAAAGTCTGCTTTTTATTCATCAATAAGTCTTCATGATAATGGATATAACTCCTGGGCAGCCAAGGTTCATTCTATTTTAAATGAATATGGATTCACAGATGTATGGCTCAACCCATTGCAATACAGCCCAAAAGAGTTTGTTGAAATATTCAAACGTAGATTAGTTGATTGTTTTATACAAAAGGTAAATGCAGACATTCAATCTAGTCCACTTTTGTCTAATTTGTATGTACATTTGATTGACAAATTTGAACCTGCATTTAATCTTGATAATTTATTCATTAAATCCTACAGACAAAATTTATCTCGTATTAGATTATCTTCTCATAAATTAAAGATAGAGGCAGAGAGGTATGGTCCTAATAGAAATCCACGTTCTGAAAGAAAATGTGAATTATGTAATCTTCAAGAAATTGAGGATGAATTTCATTTTATTATCATTTGCAATTGTTATACTGCATTACGTAGGGAGTTCATTAAGCCATATTTTTACAGAAGGCCGAGTATGTTTAAATTTTTGCAGCTTTTGAAGTCAAAAAATAAATCCGAATTAATTGGACTTGCTAAATACATCATCTTTGCTACTAAGCGTCGATATGACCTTATAAATATTACCATTTAAAGACTATTTTTACCAGTATGCGCATGATAATTTTGCCCATTAAAAAGCGACAGTATGGTATTTATCGTGTAATTTTAATCGTTGATTCACTACATATTAAATATATGAAAGTCATTTTTGCATTTTTTTTTTTTTTTAGTAAGAGTAATGCCAACTTTGTATTGTTTAAATATGGATTTAAGAACATTCTCCATATATACTTTTGTTTAACAATGTTTGATTTCAATATGATCGTACCATGACTTATGATTTATGTAATACATGTTTCTTATTGTGACTATGTACAAATATGTATACGTCAATAAATTATATCTATCTATCTATCTATCCTGATACGAAGCTAAATTGTGTCACGTTATTTTTAATGTGTAGCATTTTTAATGGTTATGTCACATGTCTAAAAATCTAAAACCAGATCGCCAACTGATTGCACATTTCGGTGGTCCTATGTTCAATAGGGAGAAATGTAGGTCATCTTAGAATTCTTAAATTAAACATTATCAATTGATCAGCTGTCAACTGGTCAACATGAGACTTATAATCTTGTAAGTTGTTGATTGCCCGGTTATATTACATCCTAGGGTTTTCAGAGATGATATCCTTATCCAGTCACCAATGTTCCTCAGCAGCATCTACATCAACTGTTATAGAATCTGTAGTAATGTGATAAATCAAGATGTCAGAAATATACCTCCATAATTTTATTTATTTAAAGACTGGGACAGCTTCACGCCTGGTAAATAATAGAGCTGCCTCTTTCGGAGGTATACGGTAAATCGCTCTATCGCTACTTCCGAGCTAGTACATGTCGCTTTCTTTGTTTTATATAGTTTGTAAACTCTACACCAAATATGGAAATTCGGAGAATGTTACGTCGTACCAACACAGCAGTGAGTTTGCCTCCCAGTTATAGTCAGTCTTGATTGCTCGGGAGTATCACGTAGATGTACATATGGCGACTTTCCGGCTTTACTGGTTGAGGACGATCCAATGTGTCCCTCCATGCACTATTTCAGGATCGAGCCTATGTGCACCAGAGGGTGTGTTTTGTATGTGTGCGTGCGTGTGTGTGTGTGTTGGTTTTAACTTATTTCCAGCTTACTAAAACACAAGTCTTTTAGAGTAAGATGTGCCATATTAGAAACAATATAGGAGATACAAGGTAATGAAAACATCTTTATTAGTTAAAACATATGTTAGTTAAAGCATCTTAATTATGTGTTTCGTACAGATATTTAGGTCAACAAGTCACAAAGTTCTCACATTTTAGTGTACTGAACTACCTTTCGTCCATTGCCTGTGTAATATTTGTTTATATGTGACTGTCAACTCTCAAATTTAGAACAATCTAAACTCTCCTCGGATGGTGCAATCTCGGACTGATAGGTCAACAGGTTTATTCAAAAGCAAAAATTTAACCATATAAAAGGTCAAATAGTTTACAAAATCACCGTCTTTTAAATATTTTTGCAGATTTTTACACAGAGAAAAATGGTTGAAAAATAAGATTCAAAGATATTTGAATCTTGTCACCATACAAAAATTACATCTGCTTAAATCGTTTAGATAAACTGTTTTTCGGATTATTATTTTTATTAACAATCAATTTACTTTTACTGACTAATAGATTCCGATTTACCAAAGTAAATATCTTACGATTAATTTCAATTACAAAAACAACTTCAAACACTAAAACACGAGTTCGATTAGATGTCCATTGTCCACTTTGATAAATCTGTCTAGCTTTGTTGTTAAAATCTTAAAACTCATTATGCCTCATAAAGGAATTAATGCTAGCTATTTCTCAGTTTCTCAGCTTTATAGTTTTTGGTGTCTTTATTTACCAATCAGTACAGACTTTGATTTAGTATTTGGTATGGAAATGCTACCGTGTTTATATTTTCAAATTATTTTCATACTCAGTGCAGGTGAAAAAAGGTGATATAATTTGATTTTCCTCTTTTTAAAGATCGAAGGTAAAATATTCGTTGCTAAGGCATAATGTATTTAATCAAAACGTACGCATCGAGATAATAAAAGTAATAGTCAAATCTTGATTTTCTATCTAAAGAAAAATATATATTTCTGCTCAGTAAAAGTTTCTTCCTTTATATGAAATTTTTAAATACGAAAAAGTGCAAACAAAAAGGTTAAGATTGAAAGTTTATTTTGGTATAAATAGGTTAACTAAGATCGTTTGTATTACGTCTGCGATGTGAACATATGGATCCATTAAAAATGTGACATGTCTACTTATATCTGTATTTAGAACTGTACTGAAATGGTGATAATATGTTACTAAATACAAAATGTGACCAACTATAAAAACGAAGCTCATTGAGGACGAGTATCATTGTCTTACTCAGCCGGCGACCAAGAGAAGCAACATCATGCTCAGGGTTCTACTAGCCTGTTTTGTCTGTGTTTCATATGTTATGGTAACGTATTTTTGTTTCCGCTTTATCATTTATAAAATTTTATAAAATAGTATTTAGGTAATCTGAATCATATATGCTTTATTTCTTATACAAGGTACATGCACGTCATGCCTCAGAAACAAATAAATATTTACTTGTTCAGAAAAGGCAAACATGAATTTCATAACGTTTCAATGGTTTTAGAGCATGTTAGATGCTTGTTACCTGAAAAAGTAGCACTAAATGTGAAATGATTTATCAGAAATAAAACAAAATGTAAACAAAGTAGTATTTTGGGTTCCATACAGAATACTAAAATGATAAAGTCTATATAACTGTTTATTGGCCAATATAGTTACTTTTTACGAACTATGGAAGTACTCAAAAAGTAAGAAAGCTTTTTAAGCATTTTAAAGCATAATGTGCCTTTAAATAATGTTATGTGCAATGTTTTTTTGTTGTTTTTTTTCATCATATTGGATTGAATGAGTTAACAATACTATATTTAGCCGAGCGTGAGTTTTGATGTCTTCATACGATAGTGATCTTAAGTCAGAAATGTATAAATTGATTCATACCCCAAATTTGAATCATTAAAAGAATTTAATCAACTTGAAAAAAAAAATCATATCAAAACGTTCCAATTATCATTCACATGAAAACTATAAGATCTTTTCAGCTATTCATAAAGTTGTGGTTACACAATGAAGCGGTAACCATTGTTGTCCTACTCTTTACTGCTGGATTTATAGCTAGCAAATTACGTTGCATTACTTAACGTACCATTGCTACACGACAAAATAAGGCTAAAAAGGGGATTTCATCTCAAATTATGATACAGCTATAAGATACGATGGTATACCAGTTAATTCTGTGTATATATTAATAATATGTATAATAAAACATGGTTTGTTTCAGTGTATGACAACAACACAAAGACCTCAACAGGTTCATAACCACAATCGCACACATCATAACCATTCGCATCATAACACCAACACGACGAGGGAGCCTCCAGTGAGGGAATCTTTCAATTTTATCTACGAACCTCACTCTGTAAGTGGTTGTTTCTATTCAACAATAACGTTACTATGTTACTACACATACATTTGTATATCTAAATCAAATGCTTTTTGACAACCAATAGTTTGCATGGACACTAATACATGATGTTATCCCATCCCGAGAATTCATTATAAATCAAATAAATTATTATATATATATATTAGTAAACTGAAATATATTTTCAGCAAATGATGGTTGTAGTTAGCGCCAAGGAATGTTACGTATTTGCATTAAGTGACAGTGAAAAGTCGGCTGTCCACACAGACGCTGGTATACGGGCAGTAGAGGTAAGCTTAATTTGTCTTTTTGGAACCGACATAAAATGTTCGGTTATTGCCGGATCTTATTGTCGTATTATTTTGGTACAAATCTGATTTTTTTTCATTGTTTTGTCTATTTATTTATTTATACATTAATCACATTTTCTAATATTATTTGCATTACTACTACTACTACTACAACACTACTACTGCTACTGCGTCTACTGCTGCTGCTACTAGCTGCTACTACTTATACTACTTCTATGATAATGATAACAATAATAATTATAATTAACAGCAAAAGTAACAGCCGTTAACAACAAGTGAAAAAAATGCCTTTTTACATCCAAAAAATGTTGATGTTTTTTTATTCCTTTCGTTGTAGTATACAATGTACTTTCAAATTCCTCCCATAACCAAAAGTGTTGCGTTTTGAGCTTATTTTTTCTAATTTATTGCAGCTGCGTTTACTGAGTGCTTTAAGTACTTCTGCTGTGACGACTACAACCAGAGATCAACTGGATCCTAAGGCAGCACATGCATGTGGCGGACATGCAACGACATTCTACAAGGAATCCAGTTCATAAGTTTAGAAGATAGTACATGTACAAGAATAAAAATAAATAATCATTTAATGTTCAAATTGTTTTTAGTTGTTAGTTGATAGACAGAAGAACAATGGCTTGTTTGACTTAAAACAGAAGTAAGAGAAATTAGGACAATGGTTTGTTTGACTCAAGAGAAATTCAACAACAACAACAACATTATCACAGAATAATAGTATACAAGATATTGCTTTGTTAGCTAAAAAGATAGATCAATTAGGCGCATAAAGAAAGGTGATAATGTCATATAAATCATCGTCCGTATCGTGGACCAAATTTTTTACAAAAATCCGTATCTTGAATGAAATTATCAGGTAAATCAGTTTAAATTCAAGATTTTGTCGCATCGAAAGGAACTGTTTACAAATGAAGTACAAAGTATTGTAGGATAACGGTAATTAGCCAGTAATTAGTTAACGGTATGCATAGACGGATATATTAATTTAATGAGCTGTCACGAATACTATGTTTAATTTAGTTAATTAATAGACCTGTCAACACTAAACGGGAAGTGTACCTTTTGTACTTTAGATAGTGCATATATAATGGGTTATTTAATTGTTTAGCTGTCAACAAATGCATATATATTCTATGAATTATTAAGTTATTAAATCTTTAGGCGTAAAGTATTTTAGTATATAAGGGGAGCGAAATAGTTGATTATTTAGTGTAGTTTTTGATGTTAAAGCAGACTCACTCACTTAAGGTTAAATTATGCTAAATACGCGATTGGCATTAATTCTTATTATTTTAAATATTTGTATAAGAATTGTTAAGTTGTTAAAGACATTGTTAAAGCAATTGTGTTGTATTGGTGAACAGTAAATTATATAAAATAAATACATATATATGACGTTTATAAACTTTATATTGTGTTGACTTGTTCATATTGAGTTTATTCAGATCTGAGCGTTACACTACAAGGGACGATCTGCTTTCGTCAACAAGAAAAAAATTTTAAAATGTGAATTTAAAAAAAATTAGGACATACCTGTGTTAAAATTTAATTAAAACTAAGAAAGTGATTATGTTTTTTAGGACAGATAAGTGTTATTCTCGCAATACAAAACAGTGTTATTTTAGGACAATTCAATCAGTGAAAATAGTTATATATACGGAACATTTTTTGTTTTATCATATTAATATAAAATCATATTCTTATATGTTTGTTAACAGAAATATGTAAAAAAAATAGAAACTATTAAATATGATTTGTTTTAAGTAATATTACTTTCAATTTTAAACTTGTATATGAATAATTATATCTCTTGCTATATATAAATTGTAAAATGTCAATTGCTTACCTTTAGTTATTTTTATTTTTGAGTTCGATTTTTTTCCTTTTTCAATCTTGAAACTATTCGTAGTCTTTCATACTTAAAAGTGACATAAATTTTTTCTTTAAATAAGTTTTATTTTAAAATACCTGGAAGTATTTTTAATTGGTTGGGAAGATATTGTAGGATAACGGTAATTAGCCAGTAATTAGTTAACGGTATGCATAGACGGATATATTAATTTAATGAGCTGTCACGAATACTATGTTTAATTTAGTTAATTAATAGACCTGTCAACACTAAACGGGAAGTGTACCTTTTGTACTTTAGATAGTGCATATATAATGGGTTATTTAATTGTTTAGCTGTCAACAAATGCATATATATTCTATGAATTATTAAGTTATTAAATCTTTAGGCGTAAAGTATTTTAGTATATAAGGGGAGCGAAATAGTTGATTATTTAGTGTAGTTTTTGATGTTAAAGCAGACTCACTCACTTAAGGTTAAATTATGCTAAATACGCGATTGGCATTAATTCTTATTATTTTAAATATTTGTATAAGAATTGTTAAGTTGTTAAAGACATTGTTAAAGCAATTGTGTTGTATTGGTGAACAGTAAATTATATAAAATAAATACATATATATGACGTTTATAAACTTTATATTGTGTTGACTTGTTCATATTGAGTTTATTCAGATCTGAGCGTTACACTACAGTATCTAGAAATTGTTTGAAATATAAGTCTAATTCTATTACGTCAGCTAGGATTAATCATTCAAAGCACATTTTGTGCCATAACATATTTCTTTGAGTTAATTGTATTTATTTTGTGATTTATTTTTCAAGATCATTCGTTAGAATTTCGATCTCCTTGGCGACATGATTACCTCCTTCACGACAGAGCTGTCTCCCTATATTTTCTTTATTAACGAATATGTTCATGGTTTTGAACTGATTTAAATCTTATTTTATTTCTAGACCTTATATCTATTTGAAGAATATTTGTTTTTAATCTGAATTGCTGTTTACATAAAAATAGGAGGAACAATTTAATAATTCTGTTTAATGATGAAACGGTCCTTTCCAACGCTGAATTCGCTAACTGGGAAACGCCGCAACAACTACATTTCAAACACAATTAAAAGTTAACGAGTTAACGTTTTCTAGAAACTTTAATCAAATCTACATGATCATCGCTTAGCGTTCTCCGAATTTCCATATTTGGTATAGAGTTTACAAAATATATAAAAAATTAAACACTTGACATTTGATTTTAGCGACATCACGGATTTATATTAAATCCGTGGCGACATGCACTAGCTCGGAAGTAGCGATAGAGCGATTTACCGTATACCTCCTAAAGAGGTAGCTCTATCATTTACCAACATATGATTGGACAATTAACTGATGCTGTGGTTTATTTTCGTGCAACCACACATATGTTACGCCTTTGCTGTGTTGATCATTATGAAACCATAAGGGTACTGTCAATGACAGTCTGTCATAAGATTATAGTGACATTTAATTCTTGATATTTACATGTATGTCAGAGATCAGTGAAGACCGTTGCTTAAATATTTTGTGATAAATAAAAGTACATGTATATTATTGTTACCACAGGTGCCAGATTAAGCATCCCTGCAAGTCACTATACAGTTACTGTAGTTTGTTTTTGTGTTATGATTAAAAAATGCATGAAAACTATCTACCTTCCAAAAAAGTGCCCCACAGCAGTTACTGTTAACACCAGTCAAAACCAATGTCAGATAAAAGCTATACATAGCTTATGTATTGTTAAATATTTATAGACATACCGACAATAATTGAACACCAGTTATAACCAGTGAACTCGTAAAGTTCTAGCAATTCGTAGAAATATGCCATAAAAAAGTATTCAAATCCCCCAGTCCCACCAACCTACCTAAAGTTAGTGTGTATTAATGCGTTGATGTAGGTCCTGGTGATACGTCTGTGTCAATGATTTATGTATGAATATGACGACTTATTGCATTTTGCCACAGGAACTTGAAATTCTATCAAATAACCAATATTAATGATAATATCCAAATATACCCCCTGTATACTATAAATAAACATACTGTATAGGGGGTATATTTTGGATATTATCATTAATATTGATAGAATTTCAAGTTCCTGTGATTTTGCCTAAGCAGTGACAGTTTTATTTAGCGGCGTTCAACTTCAGTTTTTTCTAAATACCACGACAAATATATTTTACAAGTCACAAGAGGAGTTTGTAAACTTCCGGTGATTGAAAAATGTCGGGGATGCAAAGACAAAAAAGTAGTAATTTAGATAAACCACTGAGTAAAGGTAAAGCAGAGGTAAGGTTAAACTGTTTTCAAATGTTTATAGAAGTTCACCATCGGTTTCTAATTAATTTTGATAAAGTATCGATTAGGCCCACTCACTATTCGCTCCACCGGACCCCCTTTGTACACACTCTTAAATATTTCTGAAGAGGAAAATTTAAATAAATAATTCTGCTTATTTTATTTATATTTTCTTTTGAATCATGACAACTGTGTCTGTTTCAAGAAGAACTGTCAGATGGTCATTTCAGTGCATAATGCTACACTATTTGACTAGTTTTTGGGGCGTCTTTGGCCGAATGGTTAAGGTTGTTGACTTCAAACCACTTGCCCCTCACAGCATCGGGTGCGAATCCCGACAGGGACTTTGGATTCTTTCATGTGAGGAAGCTATCCAGCTAGCTCACAGAACGTTGTCGGTTCTACTCAGGTGCCGGTTCCTGCCTGAAATAATACACAGAAGGGCACCTGAGATCTTCCTCCATCAGTAAAGCTAGAACATCACCAAATGACCTATAATGTGTGGGTATGACGTAAAACTCAATTAAACAAACAAACAATCTTACTGTTTTTGAACTAGACAATAAGAATTTCCATATTTAGTTTAGATAACATCATCAATAAAATGATTTAAAGAGTGATCGGATCAACGCTTATCATAGAACATTGCTCTTTGCAAATATACTGCAGAAGACAAAAGGGGAGTAACTGTAAGTCTAAGTCAAAATATTTTGATGTGTGCTAAAGCTAGATTTTGTTCTAGGTCAGAATCTTGCTTTTATAAAGGAGGTAATAGAGGGTGATATGTTTTCCTTTTTTATTGAGAAAACTGGGAGAGATGCCAAGGTGTTTACCTCGCACTAGTCTCAATATTTCCACTACAAGATCGATCGATTTTACAAAATGATATTACATAGATGTCAGCTGGGTGACCATCGTCTGTATAATAAAAAGCCCTGGCGCACAATTTTTTTAGGTTAACCTCACCCCAAAATCCCTTGTGCAAGATTCATAACTCAACTTTATTAAAAAAATAAATAATAGTTTCGAAATGTATGACTACAAGATTTTATATGTTATTGCATATTAAACATGTGTACAGTCAAATTGCAATGATAGTACACATCTCAATGTAGGCCAGTGATACCATAGATTAATAATATCTATCATATGTTGCGGTTCGGACTGGAATATCCGTCCAGAGGGGACCCGCCTATTGGGCGGTAACAAGGCTTGCCGAGTTACAGCCCATTGGCGGGTCCCCTCGGGACGGATATTCAGATCCATACTGCAAACATATGTCAGATATTTTTTCTTGCATATTCTGCCATATTATTTCATATTTAAAATGGTTTACCTCAATATGATATATGTTCATGGAAATTAAAGTCATTTCATCCATAACTGTTTTCTTACAATAGCGTATGAACTTACAACTTAAATAACAACGGCGAAATGACGTCATCCTAAGCACATATTTCCCTTATAAAACAACTTCATTTTAATGCCGATCATTCATAAAGTGCACCAAAATGACATTGTTGTTTGGCACGCGACTCATCTGGCACCCTCCATGCCAGATGAAATTTCCGGCATGGGTAAAACTACGGAAACGCCAATCTGCTATGCAAGAATATTCAGTGACAGTATAATACTTTTTAATGCAAGTAATGTTATGCTATGATAAACATAATTAACTATATTGTTTAAAAGCAAGAAGTAAAAAAAAAGACTGCAGTTAATATCATTATTACAATAGAATGAAAGAAGTAAACCAGTTTGTTTTCTTTTCTGACAGTTATCCATTTCATTTTCAGAGGTATTCAATTTTATTTTTCCCTTTTGGTTTGACTCTAATATAAGCCTAACCCTAAGTCTGCAGGCAGCAGCTGATTCTCACATTGCGACCAGTGCAGACCATGATCAGGTTGCACATCTGTGCCATTTGATCATGTTCTAGATCTACACTGTTGGCTATTCAGTGAGTACAGAGTAGTTATAAAATTTTCCCTAAAAACCATAAATGTTTTGTCCAGACAAGTTCATTTAACATGGTTAACATGATCAAATTGGCCTATTATAAGTATTTAATGTTTTCCTGCTTCATCAATGTTATCCTTACTTAGGTATGCAATAAATGCTGCACAAGTACATAGGCACATTGCTTTATTTTAAGAAGCATTATATATTACCCTGTTACCATAGCATGTATAAGCACTATTCCTGTGTTTTCGTCATTAATTGAAACTCCCAAAATAGACAGTGATCCTGAAAAAAATGAATGCATTATTGTTATATTATAAATGGTGCATCAGTTTTAGAGGAAAAATTATGTTAGCCTTCAAAATTATGAACCGTGTCATATTCTCAGTCTGTTTACATTATTTGTTGTTAATCAGTTGTAAAGATACCAGTTTCACTAAAGTACCTTATGTTGATGACTTTAATGTAGAAGTTATTCTGTTTAACAAACAATATAAAACTTTTTTCTAGTTCAGATTTTTTTATGCTTTGACTTCAAGAATGAGTAGCTTTAATAAAGGACACTTCCACATTTGAACATAAAGAAGAATAATATCTACTTTGCTATTTGTTTTTTGTTTTCACTGTAGGTTTATTCCACTCATAATTCAAATATATGTTTATATACTACATTAAACTTTGATGTTCTGTTGCAGGTTAATGTTGCAACATTTGCTTTGTTGTTCTCGGAAATAGTACAGTACTGTCAGAACAGAGTGTATACAGTTCCAGAGTTACAGACAAAGTGAGATACATGAGAAATGATTTATTTCAATTTGTTTCTTTATATTTCTTTATCCATGATTTTCTAAACCTTATCAGTAATTTTTGTTTGGATGAATATAATATTTATCACATTGTGCCAATTGTTTTTAATGTCTTTTATGCATTAATGATTATGTATTTCTTTATAGGCGCTTTTCAAATGTATATTGTAATTTCACATTAGAATATTATGAAGTCATCAATGCTGTTTAAAGTCTGGGGCATAGCTTGGTTTAAATTTATGTGTAGGCAAACCTCAGTGGTGTCCATTAAAACCCTTAGCAGAATTATTTACAAGCTTGTCACTGACTAACTTTAATGTATCATTGTTTTCTAAAAATAGAAATATCATTGAAATGATGTCATGTGAGATCCTTTTGTCATTTGTGATGTAAGTTTTAGCAGAGCAGCTTATTGATAAAATAGATCTTCGATTCCCGGATTATTTATTATCAAATGCACTGTGAATATTCACTAAATTTGGTGGTTTTGTCTTAAAGGAAATTTTCATTCTCTCCTTATGGACTTTTTTTTTGGAAAAATTAAAATGCAAACAGTGTAAATAAAAATAATCTTACAGTAAACAAAATAGAATTTATTTTGTTAAATTTTTGGATAGGCCTATCCACAAAAAACACCACAAATAAGAATGATTTTACAGTATAATTTAGTTTGTTGATAAATCCTGAATAATCCTGATTTAATTATTTTTCAGATTGTCTGATCTTGGGCAGCATGTTGGAAATCATTTACTAGACATATTATTTCTCAGGGACCGGGGCTATAAGAGGGAGGTGAAGTTACTCAGTATGTTATTGTTTATTAAAGGAAACTTCTGGAGGGTAAGTTATATAAGTTCTTGGAGGTCACACAAAATGGCATAGAATGTTACAAAGACTATTGTACTACTATTTTAGTTTACATAAGAATTATGAATTTTTCTTTGGTCATATTTTAGATGCTCTTCATTATGACAAGAATGATGTTTTGATAAAAGTTAAAATGATAGAAGGTACCAAATCTGTGTCAATTTATAAAATATTAGATACAGACTCATAAAAAATGTGTTAGACACCAGCTAAATTGTATTCTTACATTATGAAGTTATCATTTTGCATTTTAAATATTATCGTTGATACAATGGCCAGATGACTTATATAATGGCTAGTTGACTCTGCTACCTTAGGAAGGCTATTGAATGTTCAGTATGTCATGAAATTGATAATATTCTAAGTTTAAATTTTACAGACATTGTTTGGAAAGGATGCTGATAAACTTGAGCAGGCTAATGATGATGAAAGAACCTGTATCCTTTATATATCATACTAGTCTATTACTTCAACAGTGGTCATCATAGTATAATCATGTTATCTGACAATGATGCACTTAAATTGTGTTGAATAACTGTAAATTTGATGTTTTCGGCCATTAGTTTTTGATATTTCGGTTTACTGACCCGCCGACTCTGTATTTTGGGAAAATGAAAAAAAAAAAAAAAAAAAAATCTGCCCCCAAAAAAATTCTGTGGTGTCTTGAAATACGCTGCTAATAAGGACTTGTCAAAGAAATGTCGCGGTAAGTATTTTAATTAACTACCATATGCCAGACTATTTTACATACGATTTATACAGTGAGATACGCAACCGGTTATCTTTACTCGAGAATAGCCTGTCGTCTGCTAGTTGGGGAAAGTGTTTATTGGTGAAAGAAAGAATGTCTGTTAATTGGGGTCAAGCCATTCTCACAGAATTATAATTAGGCTTTGATCATATTTCATCAATGCATTGAAGGTCGAAATGCGTAAAAATGTAAAAAAAAAAAAACCAAACAAAAAAGAAACACGCCAAATTACGTAAGCAATTACATTCAAGGACAGAGCGAGAGAAATCTGCTGCAATTGACAAGATCAGTATTTTCAGATTTAACAAAAAAAAATTAGTCTTTAAAAGCAGATTGAATACAGGTTTTCAAACAAACAAAATAAAAAAATGCCCGCACTTACTTTTAATAGATTTTTATGTCAAAAATTGACCTGCTTTTTATCCGATAAAAATATTTTCACAATGGGCAAAATTGAACATGACTTTGTGTAATCTTTTCTTGACACTTTTTTTTAACATCTGATCTATAAAGAAATGAGTGCAAGTCAGCTGATTTTCGGCACCATTGATGATTCAGATTACACAGCAGTGTGTAAACATCAAAGAATGACAGATTCTTTTGAAGAGCTCGCTTGCCACTTGTCAAAAGTCATTGTGTGAAGATTTCATGTGTGTTTTTAAACAATGGCAATATGAGCAAAAGTTTTACATCGGCGATGTATTTAATTTCATTGCTCTAGTAAGTACTATGTATATGTATGCACCACATTTATAGTTATGAAAACTTTTTTTTTTTTTTTTTTGCCGCCGCCGCCGACCCTACCTTTTTTTGGAAAAAATCAGTAAACCAAAATATAAAAAAAAAATGGCCTTCGTTTGATAAAAAATCTCATTGTTCAATTGATTGCTCACTTACACACTTTTTCAATGTGAAACTTCAAGATTATTTCTTGAGAAAAAAATCTAAAACTGGTATCTTGAAAGAATTGCAACATATAGAATGATGTGCTTTTTATTTCTGTTTAAAAAACTACTGTGATAAGTTAAAAATATATTAATTGAAAATTTAAACACGCGATTTTTTTATGTTAAAAAATGATGCTAAAAATAGTATTAAGTTGAAACATATCTATATAAGTTCATGTATGTGAGTTTTGTTCAACTTATCACTATTCAATCCAATGTTATATTTGTCTTATGAGGGAACATGAGCCTTGAATGGCTAATAGCAATGTTTTCCTAGTTTAAGAGGTAGACTCATATTATTACCAGACAATTGATCCCTTTAAAATGGTGAAAATACAGAAATTCTTTTTCTTAACAGTTTTCAGATTACATCATAGAAAAAGAGCCTCTAGTTAATAAATTCATCTCTGTTCCAAAAGACAAAGGTGTGTAATATATATATTTTTGTCAATATATGAAATCTCATTGAATCTTTACTTTTTTGGATATGTAAAATGGACTTGGACTGCTTAAATTTAGAGCATGTAAGTTTAAAGGAGCTCTACTGAGGTCTAAAAGCCTCAAAACATTAAAGTAGAAATTCTTATATAGTTAAACTTGGGCACTAAAAATGGAACAATAAAAAAAGGTAATAAAGAAATATCTTCAGAATTTAATTGAGAATTGATAATTAATGCAGCAATGAAACTGTCATTTTTCACAATAAAAGATTATTCTGGAAAAAATGGAGTGAGCAGATGATCGGAAACTTTGAAGATAAGTTGTAAGTATAGACCTACATCAAATGGTATAAATATCTTGGGTCCGATCATGTTGAAAAACCTCTTAAAGGGACATAATTGACAAAATGCTGAAATTGAACATGCAACACTTAAACAGTAACTGATACAAGAGTCCAGTTAATCTGCCTGAAGTGCAGACTGGCTAGCCCTTAACTAATGGCAATATAGACTGATGGTTAAAATGGAAACTTTAAATGTTGTCCAACAAGTCATGTTCACCGATGCATGTATAACGATTCTGGAAAATATTATTTTTGTTTCAGGTAGTTTAAATTGTGCAGCATTTACAGCAGGCATTATAGAAGCTGTGCTGAATGGTGCAAACTTTGTAAGTATATTGTCTATACATTCAATACTATTGAGGCAGTTCTAATTTGCATAAATATTTTTAATGGGTGGACATTTTCAAAATATAATCTCTATAGAAGTATAAATGTTTCACATTATATCCATGTTAAATTTAGATGAATTAAGTTCAAAATACTACTACAATTACTGTAACTATAGGCATCATTGTTAAGAGACTCAAAGGGTAATTTTTGTCCATGTTTGATATTTAATAGGGGGTGGGGTTATATAAAAGTTCAATTAAATGCTGAAGGCATTTTTTTAGTACAATGTATGTTTATCTAGTATTTGAGTACTTTTTTATGTAATGTAAAACTTACATAATAAAAGAATTGCTCTAAATATTTACAACAAATTGTACCTGTATATGCATTTACAACATTTATGGACTATAAATCTGTGATTTATTCATGTACCTGATGGACCCTTTTACAGGTCGCAGGTGCTAAAAATGATAGATAATAACCAACTCTGTACATCTCATGAACAAGTGGATCGATCTTCACAAAACATTGTTTACTTTTTAGCACTATTTGTGTAATGCTAGGTTGATGTTTTTCTTTTTTATTTCAGCCTGCTAAAGTTACAGTGCATTGGCACAAAGGAACAACCTTCCTGATAAAGTTTGATGAATCTGTGATAGCTAGAGATAAATTGGTTGATGGAAAATAGTGCAATACCAGTGTTAAAATTTGCAGAAACACTGATATGTCTTTTCAAATGTGTCATTCATAAAACATATACATTACTATGTACTCGTATATGACATACCTTCAGAGATTCGGATTTATTTAAATGATTTTTACTCAGTCTGTCATATAATACATTTTTGCAATACATTTTTGCAGTACAGACTATTTTTGCATGCAATATAGCTAACATTTTATTTCAATTTAAATGTATTTTATATGATATGTATTTGAGAATGTTGAAACAACAGTTGTATTAAGTAATACTAAGGAGTAGCAAACCAACATTTTTTTCCCAACAGATGTTTTATAGTATCAAACATGTAAATAGTCATTTATTTGAAATGGTAATAATTGTCAATAATTTTATGTACATAGTTTTCTCAAATAGTGAAAGTGACTGTATGTGTATTTATGTATGTGTGAACATTTTTTAAATTTACCACACAATGTCTTGCTATGTTTGAGTCTCTTGTTGTTGTAGCATTGTTTTTATAATAAACTGAAGAACGTGATTTGTTTCTATTTTTGTTACTGTCTCATGATGTATTTTATGAGCATTTTTAGTTCACCAGAGCCGAAGGGGGATGCTCAGGCGTCCGTCGTCCCGTCATCATGCGTCAACAATCGTCTTCTTCTCTGAAACTACTGGGCAGATTTACTTCAAATTTGGTCTGTAGCATCCTTGTGACAGTCACACTTGAATTTGCTCATGTCATTCCAATTGGCCCCTTTTAGTGGTCAGCAGAGCTAAAAATAGAAAAACCTTTAAACATCTTCTTCTACAGAACTAATGGATGGATGATCACCAAACTTTGTCTGTAGCATTCTTGGGTAGTGTTTTATCAAGTTTGCTCATATTAATTTGATTGGCCCCTTTTAGGGGTCAGCAGAGCTAAAAATCGAAAAACCTTTAAATGCCTATTTTTAGAGAACTAATTGATGGATGATCACCAAACTTTGTCTGCAGCATTCTTAGGTAGTCTTTAATCAAGTTTGCTTATATTATTTTGATTGGCCCCTTTTAGGGGTCTCTAGGACTAAAAATAGAAAAACCTTTTAACATCTTCTATTACAGAACTAATTGATGGATGATCACCAAATTTTGTTTGTAGCATTCTTGGGTAGTCTTTTATCAAGTTTGCTCATATTAATTTGATTGGCCCCTTTAAGGGGTGGCTAAAGCTAAAAATAGAAATACTGTTAAATGTCTATTTCTAGAGAACTAATTGATGGATGATCACCAAACTTTTTCTGTAGCATTCTTGGGTAGTCTTTTATCAAGTTTGCTAATATTATTTTGATTGGCCCCTTTAAGGGGCTGCTAAAGCTAAAAATAGAAATACCGTTAAATGTCTATTTCTAGAGAACTAATTGACGGATGATCACCAAACTTTTTCTGTAGCATTCTTGGGTAGTCTTTTATCAAGTTTGCTAATATTATTTTGATTGGCCCCTTTTAGGGGTCTCTAGGGCTAAAAATAGAAAAACCTTTAAACACTTTTTTCCTATAGAACTAATTGATGGATGATCACCAAACTTAATAGGTAGCATGCTCGGGTAGTGTTTTATCAAGTTTGCTCATAATAATTTGATTGGCCCCTTTTAGGGGCCGCAAAAGCTAAAAATAGAAATACCTTTAAATGTCTATTTCTAGAGAACTAATTGATGGATGATCACCAAACTTTGTCTGTAGCATTCTTGGGTAGTCTTTTATCAAGTTTGCTCATATTAATTTGATTAGCTCCTTTTAGTGGCCGCTTAAGCTAAAAAGAGAAATACCTTTAAATGTCTATTTCTACAGAACTAATGGATGGATGATCACCAAACTTTGTCTGAAGCATTGTTGGGTAGTCTTTTATCAAGTTTGCTCCTATTATTTTGATTGGCCCCTTTTAGGGCCGTTAAAATTAAAAACAGATATACATTTGTACATTTAAACATTTATTGCTACAGAACTAATTGATGGATGATCAACAAACTTTGTCTGTAGCATTATTGGGTTGTCTTTTATTAAGTTTGCTCATATTAATTTGTTTAGCCCCTTTTAGGGACTACTAAAATTAAAAATAGAAATACGTTTAAACATCTTCTCCTACAGAACTAATTAATGGATGATCACCAAACTTTGTCTGTAGCATTTTTTGGTAATCTTTTATCCAGTTTGCTCATATTCATTTGATTGGCCCCTATTAGGGGCCGCTAAAACTAAAAATAGTAAAACCTTTAAACATCTTCAACTTCAGAGCCAATTGATGGATGATCACCAAACTTTGTCTGTAGCATTCTTGGGTGTTCTTTTATCAAGTTTGCTTGTATTTATTTGATTAGCCCCTTTTAGGGGCCACTAAAGCTAAAAATTGAAAAAATCTTCGAACATCATTTCCTACTGAAATAATTGAAAGATGATCACCAAACTTTGTAGCATTCTTAGGTAGTCTTTTATCAAGTTTGCTCATATTAATTTGATTAGCTTGGTTTAAGCTAAAGCTTAAATACCCCAGGCCATTGCATTTTTTTCAAATTATTGTTTAAACATATTCTATGCTCAAATTTAATATTAGTATATATTGACATTCTAACACTGAAAAGCAGTTGTTTCTGGTGAGCAACTCAGGGCCATCATGGCCCTCTTGTTATGTTTTCTGAATGATAGTAATATTGAGATGTTTCACTCCTTACAGTTCACACATAGATGTTTCACTTCTATTTTGTGAATTGTATAGATGTTTCACCCCTAATTATTTTTTTCAAGATGTTGAATAAAAGTTTAACAAATTTACTTTAATTTCAATTGTATTTCATTTTGTATTTATAGCATAATTTGCTAAAAATTATTGATATTAGAGACATGGGCAATTTGAACGAAATTATCAGAAAATGCTTAAATGTGTATTACCGGTAAATATGTATAAAAAATATAAATGATTGCCAGAGCAAGAAGCACATTACAAGCTTTTAACAGTTGAGGATATCTGTATCTTGAAAGTTGAAACAATTATTGAATATGAATAAAATGTGCAAGTTCATGTATATTATACCATGATAGATTTGATATTAGTGTGCTGTTCATAGTGTCTACATGGCCAAGTTTACATTTGGTCAAAATGAAAAATTCTGCTCAACTGAGGTGTGAACAACAGCAAAGGTCGTTGGGGAAAGTTACATTCTAAAATGTCATGTTATGTACTTAAAAAGGAAACTGATCTTGGTTTGTTTTGGTCCCATTTGATTTAATGTTCAGTTATTTAGAGAATACTAGAATACAAAACGAACAAGAGCCACTGCCAGGCACAGGTGGCAGTATCAGTGTTTGGACACCCCACCCCTATCTGCCCCTGGACCCTGAAAAAAAATAAATTCAACACTCTAAGGCTTACTATAAGGTACCAAATACAAAACCACCGATGAAATTATATATAAAAAAAAAAATTTTCCACTATCAAAATTATAGTTATAGTCTATTTTTGTCCAATTTTGTCCGGAGCATATCTCCTACATGTATGGAGGGATTTTAATGAAACTTCATAGAAATGTTCACCACTTTGAGGAGCAGTGTCGCGCACAAGAACCAGGTCTCTAGGTCAAAGGTCAAAGGTCACACTTAGAGCTCATTGAAAAATGCTTGTCCGGAGCAAAACTTCCACATTGTATAGAGGGATTTCAATATTACTTGGCACAAATGTTCACCATTGTGAGGCGGAGTGTCGCGCGCAAGATTCAGGTCCTTGCGGCCAAGGTCAAGGTCACACATAGAGGTCAAAGTTCAGATAAAAATATGAAGATGTGTATATGGACCATTTAGTCATCATTTATTGAGGGATTGTAACACAAATGGTCATTATCAAGACTATTGGCTGTGATACATATAATTTAGGTCAATATATACAATGTCAAGGTCACTAAAGATGATGAAATATCCAGATTTTGTCCGGAGCATATCTCCTACACGCATGGAGGGATTTTAATGAAATTTCATAGAAATGTTCACCATTATGAGAAGCCATGTCACGCACATGAACTAGGTCTCTAGGTCAAAGGTCAAGGTCACACTTAGAGCTCATTGAAAAAACGCTTGTCCGGAGCAAAACTTCCACATGCATAGAGGGATTTCAATATAACTTGGCACAAATGTTCACCATTGTGAGGCGGAGTGTCGCGCACAAAATTCAGGTCCCTGCAGCCAAGGTCAAGGTCACACTTAGAGGTCAAAGTTTAGATAAAAATATGAAGATGTGTATAGGGACGATTTAATCATCATTTATTGAGGATTGTAACACAAATGGTCATTATCATGACTACGGCTGTGACACATGTACTTTAGGTCCATATATGCAAGGTCAAGGTCACTAAAGATGGTGAAATATCCAGATTTTGTCTGGAGCATATCTCCTACATGTATGAAAGAATTTTTATAATACTTTATGGAAATGTTCACCACCATGATATGTATTGCTCCATGCATGATCCAGGACTCCAGGTCAAGGTCAAGGTCACACTTAGAGCTCATTGAAAAAACGCTTGTCCGGAGCAAAACTTCTACATTCATAGGGGGATTTCAATATAACTTGGCACAAATGTTCACCATTGTGAGGCTGAGTGTCGCACGCAAAATTCAGATCCCTGCGACCAAAGTCAAGGTTACACATAGAGGTCAAAGTTCAGATAAAAATTTGAAGATGTGTATAGGTACCATTTAGTCATCATTTATTGATGGATTGTAGCACAAATGGTAACTATCATGACTACAGGTGTGACACATTTAATTTAGGTTAATATTTGCAAGGTCAAGGTCACTGGAGATGATTAAATATCCAGATGTTGTCCGGAGCATATTTTCTACATGCATGGAGGAATTTTAATGTTACTTTATAGAATTGTTCACCACCATTAGACGTAGTGCCCTGCACATGAACCAAGTCTCTAGGTCAAAGGTGAAGGTCACAGTTAGAGCTCATAGAAAAACGCTTGTCTGGAGCAAAACTTCTACATGCATAGAGGGATTTCAATATAATTTGGCACAAATGTTCATCATTGTGAGGCTGAGTGCCGTGCATAAAATTCAGGTCCCTGCGACCAAGGTCAAGGTCACACATCCTGTGCATATCTTCCCTACTGATTTGTTTTAAGGTTCATTTAACAACACAGTGCCAAGAATAAAAACTTGCTTGCTAGATAACACTTATCCATAATGCCCCCATCTCCATCTAAAGCTTTCGTTAACGGGCGTATTTTGTGACTATGGCACCCTTGTTTTAATATAATTTCATCGGTTGTTTTGTATTTTGGTACCTTATAGTAAGTTTTAGAATGTTGAATTATTTTTTTTCAGGGTTGTAGTAGGGGTCCAGGGGCAGATAGGGATGGGGTGTCCAAACACTGATACTGCCGCCTGTGCTGCCAGGCAGGAACCTTTTTCTTACAAACACATTGAAAAAAGAATATTGCAATAAAGAATACTCCTAAAAAACATAAAAAGTCTTGAACAAATTATAATTCAAGTTTCGCAATTGACCTTCATGATAAAGGTCACATTTGAATAAATCAACATTGCCAGTTTTGTAATAAGTGTTATTTTATTGAAGAATGAACCAAATCCATATTTAAATGTAATTTACATGAAGCGATGACAATTGAAGTAAATTTCAATAATTTGACCTTGAAAATCCGTTTAAGGTCATATGAGAATAATTGGACATGTTGGTTTTGTCATGTGTTTTGTCCAATTTGTAATTAAAGAAAGTAATGGCAGGCACAATATACCGGTAAGCAAATTTCAATAAGTCAAGTTCAAATAAAGGTCATATCAGAAAAAATCAACATGTCAGGAATCTCAGGATAGGCATATTACGTTCTTTGTTCTAGGCATAAATCAAATCTGTAATAAAAATAAAACAACAAAGTTAAAACAATTTGACCTTGACAGTGAATAGAAAGGTCAAGGTCACATCAAAAGAATTCGCCATGTCAGTTTGTAATATAAACATACTTCAAAACTGTAAATAAGTAACAAAGTTTTGAAATCTAATCTAAATTAAATATTTGACCTTGAGAGTCAAGAGATAAGTGAAGGTCATAATCAATTAGGTCTACAAAAAGTCTTGGTCTAATTAGGATTTTGTGTCCAAGATTGAAGACAATCCATTCATAAAATAACAAATGTATTGCCAATTATATAAAAAAAAACAGCAAAATTCACTTATTTGAAGTCAAGGTCATTAATGAGTAAAGGTCATAATCAATTTGGTTTACATAAAGGTCTTGCCAATTGTAACTAAAATCAAGCAAAATCCAAATATTTGACCTGGAAGGTCAATGTCATTTATGAGTGAAGTCAAGTTCAGTCTGGTCAACTTGAAGGTTTTGTCCAAATGGTTGTTATGAACAAGTATGAAGGCAATCCACGGATTTACATCACTTTCAATTTCCAGGGATCCAATGGATGCAGGTTCTTTAATAACAATTGTCCAACCATAAATTCGAGGTTCCAATCATTAATTCAAGATGTCAAACATATTCAAGCAAAAAATAAAGTAATGGCAGGCTCAGTATAAGCAAATTTCAATATGACCATGAATGTCATGGTCAACATTCATGGTCAATTAAATGTCATATCAGAAAAATTCAAGTCAATCAGTTAAAATACAACAAAACAACACATATTATTTCTTTAATCTTTACTAGTTTCGACTGTTGTCTTCATCAGAATAACGTATAAAATATTTGACGTCGCCAACGTCAACGTGACAAATTTGCGCAAAAACGTGAATGTAAAGTAATTAACAAATAGATATGGACCAAAAAGATACACCGGCTTTTAATAATAGAACTATATTTCTACAATATAAAGCAGAGAAAAATGATAAAACCCAACATACCTATATGTCAAAATATATCATATAATTTTATATATACATTCACTGGGAATTATCAAGAAAGCATTACTTTAATTACCCAGCAAGTTATATAGAATAGCAAAAAAAAGAAGATAATAATAATAATAACAACAACATTATCCATTACATATTATCATCATCATCATCATCATCACCAACACCAATAATAATAATAACACCAATAATAATAATAATAAATTAATAAAAATATGATTTGTCAAACAACACAAATGAATGTATATTTGTTGAGATACTTTTGCCCGGGAATAAACCTATTATTGTTGGAACATTATATAGACCCCCTAAACAAAACGATTTCAATAAGTATCTAGAATCAATTTTATCTAAACTTTCTTTCGAAAATGAAATATATATACTTGGAGATATGAATATATGCTTTTTTGATAACAAATCTGTTATATTCAGATAATACTGCAGCATTTTGAGTTTATATAATCTTCAGCAAATTATAAAAACAGCGACACGAATTAGTAATACGGGTTCTAGCCTTATATATATATATCACATTCTCTGTAATAATAAAGAACGAGTGTCTCAGTCTGGGCCGGGTTATTCCTCTTGGGTTAAGCGATCATTTTATGACTTTTTGTACTAGAAAGAATGTTAAGAATCCAGTTAATTGTCATAGATATGTTAATATACGATCGCTTAAAAATTACTCTAAAGAAAATTGGATTGCGGAGTTGACTCAAACAGACTGGAGTTCTTGCTTTTATTCTATAAATGTTAATAACGCATGGAATAATTTTCAGAAAATGTTCACCGATTTATTAGATAAGATTGCTAATTTAAGGAAATTAGACTTAAAAATCAAACTGAACCTTGGATAGATTCAAATATTCTAGATCTGATACATAGGCGAGAGAAACATATGCAAGGTATAGAAAAAGTCGTAATAATTCTGACAAGATTTTGCTCAATAAACTTCGCAATGAAGTACAACGATCTATAAAATTGGCAAAATCTGAATACTTCAAAGGAATAAGAACGACAATAAGAAACTATGGCAGAATATCAAATCCCTTGGTTACAGTAACAATAAAAAAGAAAGTCCGAATATTTTTTTGTCGATTGATGGTGAAACTTATCACGATCCTTGTAGAGTTGATAGTCATTTTAATAACTTCTTTACAAATATTGCATCTAATTTAGTACAGAAACTCCCGACAGCAAAGAATTTTTATAGTTCGGCATCCGATACAATTAAGAATTTTTATAGAAACATATCACAAAAAGAGTTTCACCTTCATCATGTAAGTGAGGAGTTAGTATATAAAGAATTATGTAGGATTAATGTAAGCAAAAGCACTGGATTAGATGGTATCCCGGCAAAATTTCTTAAAGATGGTGCTGATGTGTTAAAAATCCCTATAACTTATATTGTGAATTCTTCAATAACAGAGGGGGTTGTCCCAGATGATATGAAAATTGCTAAAGTAAAACCTCTACAAAAAAAGAATAGTAAGCTAGATGTCGGGAATTACAGACCAGTTAGTATTTTATGTATTGTATCCAAGATTCTAGAACGGGCCGTGTATGTACAATTTGAGTCATTTCTAAGAACTAATAATCTAATTCACGAACACCAGTCCGGGTTTCGGAAATCTCATTCAACTGACACATGTCTTATTTACCTACTTGACTATATCCGTATAAATAGCTCCAAAGGGTTACTCACTGGTATGGTTATGATGGACTTACAAAAAGCATTTGATACCGTCAATCATGATATTTTGTCTGATAAATTAGATATATTAGGTGTCAAATCTATTTCTTGGTTTAAATCATACTTGTCAGGAAGGTATCAGAAAGTAAGTATTGGTAAAGTTTTTTCTGACTCAATTCCTATTACGTGTGGGGTCCCTTAGGGCAGTATTTTGGGTCCTCTTCTATTTCTCTGCTACAATAATAACATGGTAACTAGCATCGATTCTGATTGCAAGTTAATTTTATATGCAGATGATAGCACAATATTATTTTCGCATAAGGATCCAAAAAATTATAGCCCAAAAACTTGGAAAGGTATTGGAACGATGCTCAGATTGGTTAGTTGATAATAAATTATCTCTACACCTGGGCAAGACTGAATGTATGCTATTTGGTTCTAAATAAAAAATTAATAAACTACAAAAATTTTCCATTCCATGTAATGATCAAACAATAAAGTCTTCGTCTGAAGTAAAATATCTTGGTTTTAATATCGATTGTTACCTATCAAGAGATAAAATTGTCAAGAGCATTTTTTCAAAGGTGAATAGAAGATTACATTTTCTATACCGTACGTTACAAAAATTGTTTATCGGAAGAAATAAAGAAACAGTTATGTCCTGCCCTTTTGCTGTGTCACTTTGATTATTCTTCATCTTCTTGGTACGAAGGACTGAGTAAGTCACTGAAGCACAAACTTCAAGTAGCTCAAAATAAGGTTGTGCGCTTTATAAAAGACTATACACTCCTAGGACTTCGGTGACAAATAAGGTTCTGTCCGATCTTAAATTATTAAATGTCAATGATAGAGTTTAGACAGTTAAGACTCAACCACATTCATAAAGTTTATAACAACAAAAGCCCTTCTTATTTAAAGGAATTGTTTAAGGTTTGTAGAATATCCAATTTAAGATCTAGTAATTTTAATTTTGTTTTGCCTCAAAATGATTCTTATGTTAAAAATACATTTTTCTACAATGCCATAAAAGACTGGAATTCTTTACCAGACAACATTAGATCAATTGACAATATCCAAACATTTAAAACGAAAGTAAAACTTATTTTAAGTAATGAAAATGACAAACAAGTAAATAATATGTTTATTTATTATTAAATCGATGTGTAACTTATGATAAGGTTTTGTAACATGTTTATGTTGTACTTGATATGTTTTAGTTTAAACGAAATTTATTTCATTTTGTTTGTTTATGTACAATGTACTTGTCTTATTATATTAAAAATGTGTCTTGATTGTTGAAAATTGTCATTTATTTTAACTTCTTTATAATTCATTTATTATTATGTAAGTTAGTGTAATAATTTTACAGTAAATGGACCCCATTGGAAATAAGCTTTTAGCTTAATGGGCAATCCTAGTGTTACATAGAACATACTCATTAATTAATCTTATAATTATGTTTGTTGCATTTATGCGTGCGTTTATATATATATATGCAAGTTGATATATGTGATAACATTGTATGTGTATATGTCTATTCCCTGAATAAATCGATACGAAAAAGAATATTTGAATAAATGATAGTCGAATTTATAAATCTGTTTCATATAACAATAAACATAAGCTATGATGAGCTTTCTATACAGACTTTATATCACTATAGTCGTTAATCATTATAGGGATATATGGATGCAAGATCCTGCATACGGTTTTTCGACCAACGTTGACGGTTATTGCGCGTATGGAATTTAGTGATGTCCAACCTTCTATATACGGTATGGTAGGGCAATTGAAAAGATGGTACCCGTTGCGTCGGAACTGGGCGCGGTACCAGAGATTTGCCACCATTTGCAAATTTGACAGCTGAAATAAATATTGCACAACTTTTGTTGTTTAGAGCTTCTTCTTGCATCATTCTTCAGTTATGGGTGTCATTAAAGGAAAAAGAGATTGGCTTGCATACGGGATGGAAGAAGATATGGAGTAAGATTGGATATTTTTTTATTTTTTCTGCATTTCATTTTGAACTTAGTTTGAAATTTTGGCCAACTGTTCAAATTATCTGATCATTATATCCTGGATTAGAGTAGACACAATATATAGTAGGGTTATTACGTATTTGTTGTATATCACTGTAAATAATTTAGACAGTGATCTAGCAGTAAGGTTATTGTTATCCACATACTGCTGTGTGTCCGGTTATCAATTAAAAAATGGGCTTATGCCTATATTAATCATAATTGGTATGAATGAAAGTTTTCTAGCTCTAGCATTTGCTGCACAAAAAATGTATTCAGTGAATCAGTAAACCCATCTTTACACACATCATTGATAGTTATACACTTAATTCAAGTCTTGTTTTTTTTCCCCAGACTTCTGTCAAATTATTATTATCTATACAGTATATTTAAATTGAAATATCATTGTATGTATTTCTACTATTTAAGGCATATCATTGAACCAGTAAGTTCATCAGACAATGAGTCTGTAACAAATGTTCCAGTATCCACCCCACGTAGAAGGGCACAACGCCCAAAAATGCGCAACATGGAAACAAGTATCTCAGACCATATTAATAGTAGAAGGAAAGGACAGAAACAGGCCAGAAGATGTGATAATTGTGAGTTTTGCAGTAGTCATAATGTAATTTGTATGTTTATAAAGTGATAGATATAAACATTAATTAATTGACTTTAAACAGTTTTGATGACTCTTTGTTAAATAATTGTTCCTGTAAATGTCATTTTTTAGTTGCTGATTAATTATCTGCAACTATTGATAAATCAGTCAGATGTTTTAGAGGGTTTTCATATACATTTTTAGTTTATTCTTAAATGATTGTTTCTCCTTTACTGGGTATATATAACCAACTATGTACATTTCCAGTGAAGGAATTGATCAATATGGTTGAAAAGGAGGATATTGAATTAGATTTCAATATTTTTGAGCCAACTATCTCAGCTTTTGCTGAACTCTTCAATGAGCATGAAAAGATGAAGGTAAATGTAAATTGGTATTACTATACTGGCATGCGAGCAGTTCCCGTACAAAAATCACAGTTACTTAAACATTATTTTTTATTACGTTCACTCACCAAAATTTGAATGTTACTCATCAATATTCAGCTCGTCACACAAATCATGGAAATTCCATCATGTTCTAAACATAGAACAACCCCTAGTTATGAGGCCTCATATGGGGTACCGAAATTATCCATTATTTTGTATGAAGAGAAGTAGTTCCCGTACATAAAATCTAACCCATTATAATTATACAATTTTATTATATCGGACCTATTTTTCATTTACAATTGTTGAACAGACCATTATCTAAGAGATGAATAGATGTAATTCAGGAAATAGAGCGTAGACTAAACGCGAGTATCTATTACCCGGTACCGTTACCCCAACGCATTCACATGCAATAGCATGCTTGTATGCATGATATTTTATGCATCAAAGCCATAAAATTATTATATATAGTAATATTGGTCAACATTCTGATAATTAAACAAGTTTACATCACATTGCCTACTTATTTGTAAACAGGTGGTATTAGTGGAAAACTCTTTAACAAGCCTCATGTGTAAGTATTTTTGCGCACGGAATCCCCCAGAGAAAACAAGGTCACGTTTTACGACGCACAGGTGAAAGTGATTTTAAATGAGACTTTATATACGTACTGCCGAACTGACACTTAGATTTTGTCTCGTTTATGTATCTGCTTGATTTGAAATGAATTTTTGAAGAATGCAAGTAAAAATCAAGCGTTTAAATGAAAAATACGGGTACTGCTTCTGTACGGGAACTGCTCGCATGCCAGTATAGGAAATGTTGCATGAATGGGCTATTCTGATAGGTTGCTTTAGTGATTGAAAAAGTTTGAATTTTCACAAGCCCATAGGATAAGTATAAAATACAATTTTACACAATTTACAAGAGCTATACAATCCATCAGAATAGCACACTCCTGTGATTTCCTTGTATTATAGTTACTAGTATAACTTCTCAAGTTCTGTAAAGTTAGTATAAAAACCGTCCGTGAAATGAAAAAACCAACTGAATGAATTATTTTTCCATTTGAATAGATGTATGGATAATATACATGTGATATATGATAACATTAAAAACATTAGCATGGAGCTTTATATTAATAAATCTGTAATAAAATTCCCTGACATTAATGAGGTTACAAATTTAGCAGTACAGAGTGTAATGTGTAGAAAAATATATCCGGAAATGCTTGTACATGTATTTCTTTATTTGCAAAGTATTTAATTAATGTTTTTTTTTTATTGTCAGGTACATGTTTTTGATAAATTTCTTCTGTTCTGGATAAGTCCGAATGTAAATTTGGAACAGTTCATTCAAAGTTTTAGGCATTTCAATATCAAAATACAAAAATTGAACAACCAACAGTATAGAGCCTGGTCAGACTGTAGATATGTGCAGCCTGGCCTGACTCTTTGCTTGTGGCAAAGGATATTCTGTTTTTGGTTGCAGCAGATTAATGGTTAATATATAGAATCTCTACTGTCTGAAATCATTACTTAGCGCAAGTAACCTGTTGGTTTTAAGAAATGTTACTTCCGAAATTACTTATGCTTTAATGCTGCTTATATGTAAATCAAGCTGTTGCAAGCTGTTATTGGTCAAGCGCCTGCAATATTGACGCTGATTGACAGCTTTGTCAAGAGAAAATTGCCATGCATTGATAGCTAAAATTCTTTTGGTGGGTTTTCCTTGAGGGAGATTGAGAGACAAAGCTGAAAGTTGGGGTATTTTGTTACCTGGCATGTTTGCAAACATGTTTCTAAATGAATATTTACATGTTAATCCTAATTGGTATTTATTTTTATTAAGGCTTGGAATGACTTTGTCAATTCAACAGAGGAAGAACAGATGGAACTGTTGGAGGGTGATTGTAATCACACTGGTAACCATGGTAACTGTGAGGAAACAAGTGACCTTGAAAACAACAACAGTGACCTTGACAATTCATGGGAATATGTGGAAGATAAGCGAAGAAGTAATTGCTTATAATTTTTTGGAATATTTTTTGTCAAATGCAAATTCAGTAACATGCAGAAATTTTTAATAAAAGGGGTTATTTAAGGATTTTAACTTCATTTTTTTGACTTACAGGTAAACTACAATGCATATTAAATCTCCTAAAGTATTTATTTCTTTGGTATGAAATACATTTTTTGCTTGAATGTAAAATACATAGACATATACAGGAAAATCTCTTTTTTTTCCAGCCCATCCATCATTCAGTGCTGAGGAATGCTTCCAGAAAATTGACAAGAATATTCGAACTATGTTGAAAAGAAGGCATAAGCCAATGGTATAATTTAACATTTTATTGTACTGAGATATATCTTTTAGGTAGATATATATTTTAGATATGAATGACACAAATTCAAGTTTTGTAAAGTGTTATGGCTTAGAAATGAAGTATCTTTTAAGAAATTATAATTTGTGACTACATTTTGATATGCATTTGTTAAGTAGGTTAATTTCTGATGATAAAAAGTTTGTTAAAAGATGGATGTAATATACTTTTCTAAATTTTATTTTAATATTTTAAATTTTGTATGTGCTGGACATTATCTTAATATTTACTTTTCTATTTCAATATTTTATATTTATATCTGTTTATGTTATCAGTTGAAGGATATGTATATAATTATATATATAAAAAATAACAATTTGATATCTTATTATGATATTATATTTAAAGCATAGTAAAACTTGTTTTCAGGGGCTATTGGTCAGTATAGAAGAAGAGATAGTAAATTTCTTCAAGGAGTGGCCACAGTCTGTTTACATCTCTAAACTGTCCAGCAGTTATGAGCGAATGATGTTGCATGCCCTCTGCCAATATCTAGATCTTATTTCAAAAAGTGAGTTATTGTAGAAATATTGATTTTTTATACCAATTGTTCAACTTGGTTTTATTTCATAACTAAATACATGTTAATGGTAAAAAGATTTCAGTGCTTTACTGAAAATGTCAATATCACTCATTGTAAAAATAATAAAAACATAAAAAGATTTCTGAAAATGAAATATAAGTTACTTTTAAGAGAACATATTAATGGTATTATACATGTATATGAATTTAAGTGTACTAGGTACTGATTCAAAAGCATAAAATATCATATTTTGTGAAATATTTTTCACATTTCTACACCACCGGACCAAACCTAGACCTCTGTGAATATTATGTATAAGATGATATTTCTCGAGAGTTCTCAAATTGTCACTTAGTAATGAATTTGTCTCCAGTATGATAAGACTATAAAAATTATACCTGAACCATTTATAAGACATTGACTTTTTTGTAATGTAATTATTGTGTTCATTATTTTACTTTTCTTTTGCTATATGTTATCATTATTACAGGACATAGGTTGATGATCTTGAGTCTTTTTTATAAAATGACTAAATTCGTCATTTAAAGTTTTTTTAGCTCACCTGAGCATATGTTCAGGGTGAGCTATTAGGATCACTCTTCGTCCGTCGTCTGTCGTACGTCTTCCGTTCACACTTTTAAAACGACATCTCCTCTGAAACCATAAGGCAGATCATAATGAAACTTCACAGGGATGTTCCTTGTGTGAAGCCTTAACAAAGTTGTTCAAAGAATTTAATTCCATGCAGAACTCTGGTTGCCATGGCAACCGAAAGAAAAAACTTTAAATATCTTCTTTTAAAAAACCCAAAAAGCTAGAGCTTAGATATTTGACATGAAACATCTTCTAGTGAGTGTCTACCAAGTTTGTTCAAATAAAAGCCCTGGGGTCAAAATTGGCTTCGCCCCAGGGGGTCATTGATTTTCCTTAAATGTGTATAGCAAAAACTTAAAAATCTTCTTTGAAAAAAAAACCAAATAGGTAGAGTTTAGATATTAAGCATGAAACATCTTCTAGAAAGTGTCTTCAAATTTTGTTCAGATAAAAGCCCTGGGGTCAAAACTGGCCCCGCCCCAGGGGTGTCATTGTTTTTAACTATATGTGTATAGTAAAAACTTAAAAATTTCTTTTAAAAAACCCAATGAGTTAGAGCTAAGATATTTAGCATGAAACATCTTCTTATGGGTGTCTACCAAGTTTGTTCAAATAAAAGCCCTTGGGTTAAAATTGGCCCTGCCGATGGGGGGGGGAGATCGTTGTTTTTCATTATATGTGTGTATTAAAAACTTAACATTGTGAAACATCTTCTAATGGGTGACTCTTCCGAGTCTGTTCAAATAAAAGCCCTGGGGTTTAAACTGGCCCAGCTCCGGCCCTCTTGTTTAGGATTTTCATCTTATAGATTATGTGGAAAGTGGGAAGTAGCTAGTTGGCTGTACTTATTGTAATGGATGGTTATATCTACATGTGTATATGTGATGTTCTATTGACAGGTTATGACTGTGATGGTCTACGCCAGACTCAGATAGAGAATCCACAGCCTCGTTTTACACCTCCTCCAGTACTCCTCACTCACTACCTGGAACACAGTCGTTTGTCATGACAAAATATTGGAGTCGTAACTGCACCCCCAGCATTTTTAGTCTTTGTTGTTTTACATATTTGTATTTTATAATGTATTGAGAATGATATTTCATGGATTGTTTATGAATTTCTTTTTTTTTCATTGAAAGTGTTTTTAAGAAAATCTGTATTGAAATATTTGGATTATCCATAAAAAAGAATTAATAAAATTAAACAAGTATAATAGTACATGTGAGAGGAATTTGAATTATTTTGCCTATCTACTGTGTTAGATAAGATTATATGTATTATCCATTTGTCTCATATTCTTAGCATACCAAGTGCTCTCCATTAAAAGTGTGACAGAAATATTGTGTTCTTGTTTGTTTGTCTTAGTTACCAAGTTTTAACTTTAAATTATTGTGGTCATAATGAATTCCTGGAGTGTCACCAGGCCCTGTGTTCACAAAAAGGATCTGAGATGCGTTTCACTAATGTACTTACGTTATCGTAACTTGAGTTTGAACGTAACTTTTTGCGTAAGCAGAACTTTCTTAGCTATGTATTTGCATAGGTTTAGATGTAAAGTTACGCTCACTTATTGCTGGCATAAATTGCATGCTCTGTTTAGTGAAACGCAACTAACGTAAATTTACGTTTTGCGTAAGTCCAAATTTACGTAAAATGATGCGCTAAACTTACGGAATATTAGTGAAACGCTCGCCAGGTATCCAAGTTGTAAAACCTTTTTCTAAGTTCTGTCTCAAATGTCAAGATTTTCATTGGTAGTATACATTCTGTGGCAGTTTCTGACCAATCAAATGCCTGAGATATGAGATTAAGCTAAAAGAAATTTCATCAAATGATCCCGATTTCATTTTGCTTTATGAAACTAAAATTGATCACATTTTAGCTAAAATAATATGGTACATACTGTATATCAGATGTAAGTATTGCTGTGCAAAGGCCAATATGTTAACTTTATTAAAATAATGGTAAAAATGGCTAATCTGGGTCTAAAAACAAGGTCACACAGCCCAAATATAGAAAAACCTTGTTAACACTCTAGGGGCTACTGTTACAGTCCAAATATCCTGGAAATTGACCAGAAAGGTTGTTTTGGTGGTTTTACTATGGGTCATCTCCCGTCAAAAACAAGGTCAAAGGAGCTAAAAATAAAAAAATCGTGTTCACACTCTAGGGGCTACTGTTTCAGTCCAAATATCCTGGAAATTGGTCACAAAGGTTGTTTTGATGATTTCTAAGTCAAATTCTAATATGGGTCGTTTTGGGTCAAAAACTAAGTCACAGGAGCTAAAAAAAGAAAAATCTTGTTAACACTAGTGGCTGCAGTTTTGATCCAAATATCATGAAAGTTTTTTTTAGTGATTTCTAGGTCAAGTTCGAATATGGGTCGTCCCGGGTAAAAAAATAGGTCACAGGAGTTAATAATAGAAAAATCTTGTTAACACGCTTGTGGTTGCAGTTTTAATCCCAGTATCCTGGAAACTGGTCAGGAAGATTGTTTTGATGGTTTCTAGATCAAGTACGAATATGGGTCATCTCGGGTCAAAATCAAGGTCACACATTCCAGAAATATAGAAAAACCTTGTTAACACTCGGGGCTACTGTTTTAGTCTAAATATCCTTGTGATTGGTCAGAAAAGTTTTTTTGTGGTTTCTATGTCAAGTTCAAATATGGGTCGTCTCGGGTCAAAAACTAGGTCACAGGAGGTAAAAATAGAAAAGTCTTGTTAACACTCTAGTAGCTGCAGTTTTGATTCAAATATTCTGGAAATTGGCCAGGAAGATTGTTTTGGTGATTTCTTGGTCAAGTTTGAATATTGGTTATCTCGGGCACACAGCCCAAATATGGAAAAAACTTATTAACACTAGGGTCTATATTTTAAGTCCAAATATCCTGGAAATTGATCAGAGAGGGTTTTCTTATGCTTTTTTAGGTCAAGATCGAAATCGTCATCTCGGATCAAAAACTAGGTCACACAGCCCAAATATTGATAAACCTTGTTTACACTCTAGGGGTTACTGTTTAAGTCGAATTACCCTGGAAATTGGTCAGAAACGTTGTTTTGATGATTTCTAGGTCAAGTTCGAATACTGGTCATCTCGGGTCAAAAACTAGGTCACACAGCCCAAATAAAATGGGGTTGAGCCTTCATAGTCAGGGGATTGAGCCTCCATAGTCAGGTGAGCGATATAAGGGCCATCATGTCCCTCTTGGTTTTAAAACTGCATTGTCTAGAACTAGATATTTGGCATGTTTCATTGTCAAATGTGTCTTTTCAAAATTTATATAAACCATGCCCATGGGGTCAAAACTTGCTGTACCCGGGATCACCTAATTTATATAGACTTTTATAGAAATATGACTTAAAAGTCTTCTCATCAGAAACCACAAATGAATAATTTTATTGAACAAAAGGCAAATGCCTGTGAGTACATATATACAAACATGTAATACAAGGGTTTTTTTTTTACAAAGTAATCAGTGGCGGTCCAATTCTATATAAATCATAAATGTACGTAATCGCAAAACAATATCAATCATCACTGCATGCAATAGAAATATGAAATTAATCTTATCAAGTATGTTAGGTATCATAAATACTTGACATGTAACATAACCTTGTTGTCTACAAAAGTTATATAAATCATGCCCCTGGGATCAAAACTGGCCCCGCTCGGGATCACACTTGTTTAGAAAAATACATTTAAGTCTTCTTGTGTGAAACTTCAAGGCCAGTACTTAGATTTTTGGCATGTAGCATTTCTTAGTGGACATCTCCAAAAGATATATAAGTCCTGCCCCTGAGAACATAAATTGCCTCACGCTTGGTGTCACATATTTTACAAAAACTTGTATAATAGAATGTCTCGAAAATATTATCTGAAATAATAATGCCCAGAGTTTAGATAGTTCGCTTGTTGGTCTTCTACAAAGTTATATTAATCCTGCGCCGCAAGTCAAAATTGACAACTCCCCGGAGTCACTTACTTTGCAAAGACTTGTATAGGAAAATACATTTACATCCTCTTTTGTGAAATTGATATGCAAAACATGTAGACATCTACATAAGTTATATTAGTCATGATCCTGGGGTAAAAAATCATGCAGTCTGGAGAAAAAAAGACAAACCAGATGTGTCCTCATTTTCTAGAAATGTATCTCACGCGAGCGATCCAGGGCCATCATGGCCCTCACAAAAATATGTGAGAGTAAAGATTAATCATTTCTACATCGCCGATCAAGCTCATGCTCTTTGTGAAATTGCTCTTCTAGTGGACTTTCTTTCAGTTAAATAATCCTTAAAATGACCCATGATTATATATATATCTTTTTTCTATCTAGCAATAAGTAACATAAACAGAAACATAGCTGAAATAGTAATACAGGTATAATTAATTAATTTACAATTTTATGACTTTCGTTTAGATTATACAGAGTGCTGGCTGTCATATCGGCTTCCCAATGTTATGATTACATCAAATAATCGACACATACTTGCTCAGTGATTTAAGTCAGAGCGAACAAGCCAGCATATCTATAAGGTTGTTTTTAAACAAAAGTATTCCAACATGCACAAGTTTGTTAAATTTAAACAGACGATTATAGATCATACAGCGGGAAAGCGAATTCCTGATTTACTAAAAAAAACAAAGCTCATTTAGCAGAAATATACATGTTTTATACAATGTTTAATTAAACATACATGTACATAATTAAATGTTTTAAATGACATTATTTGCATGTAACATAGTTGTTTTAATTATGTATAGGCAATTAAAAAATGTATTAGATACACGTTATTGTTCTGAATTTACTCATATTACCTTCATATTTTAGTAGGTTTAAAGTTCTTCTATATGAATGCATGCCTACAAGTAAGGTCTACAGAGTTCTATAATATCGTTTGAAAAGACGAAAACATCGGATTTTCTAAAAGGGTATTAAAATTTTAATTTTCATAACTTATGTGCAGATATTTTTGCAATTTAATTGCTTTTAATACAAATTGCAAAAATATATAGAGAATATTCATGTTTCTTCTATAAAAACAGGATTTACTTTCATCGAGTGGTATGAAAATAAATATTTCCCACGAGTGAAATATGATAATTTTCATACCACAAGATGGAAATAAATCCTGTATTTATAGAAAAAAACTTAAATTTTCTAAATTTTCTATGAATTCCCTTTTAATTTTATTATTAGGTGAATTTAGATGAAAGTAGTTCGGCAAGACACCAGTAAAAATACGGAGAATATGTTTCACTGCAGTGAAAAATATTATTTTACAGTGAAAATATGGAAAATGAAAATATACGCATTTTATTTCATCAATATTTTTAAATATTTCATTTATAAGTATATAATAAATATTTATATAAATTTTATTCTGAAGATACATGTACCAAGAAAAAAAGATAAAATTAAACAGCATCTTGTGTAAGCAATTAAATAAAGTTACATTGTTATTTTTACATTTATTCAAGTTTTTCCACAAGGTTAATTAACACACCTTTAAACACAAGGTTTTTGCCTATAAAGCTACACATATATTGTCCAAGTCCACATGTTGTTTCCGTGAGCAAAACACTTTACACTCATTGCTCAGTACTGGTTGGTTCCATGCATGGAATAGTGTGTGTTTATAAGCTAATAACTTCCTATACAGCCGGACTATAAAAAATAATATATAAACTAAAATCACATCAAATATCTTTACATATAGTATCTAGCTAATGTATATTTTCAGATATATATTGTACGTTTTTTTTTTTCACATTTACATATACTTTGTACTTGAAGAACTAATATGACAGGGCTGTTCAGATCTTCCCTCCAGGAAACCATTCCAAATGTGTAATTTAACCCTCTTAATTACGAAATAGACATGAGGAATGGAACATTCTAGTTAAAATTAATAGATAAAAAAGCAAGCATGCAATGTAAGAAAGACTTGGCAGGAAAGATACGGCATAAAATCATGTGGCGCACTTGAAATCTAATATAAATTCAAAAATGGATAAAATAAGATTTAAGATTTATTTTTGCATAATGTACATAAATGGTAATATAACACATGGACTGAGACATAACATAATACAAACATGAACATGCACACCAACACCTGGGATAACACAAAAAAGGGTAAACCATTATTTCCATTGCGGTCCCTAATAATACCGGTAAATAAGTAATGCAGCAAGTTGAACTTGCATCAAAATGTAAGAACTTGTATATATGATAACATTCGCAATGCTTTAATAATAACTCAGTTTGTCACACAATTGATTAAAACATACCAAAAGCGTATTAAGAGCATATGCTTGTACATGAAAAAGAC